AAGATCTAAGAAGCATTTTGAGACCCGGTAGCAACAGAAACTGCGGCGAATTATACAAAAAACGCATCTTCGCACCGGCAGTCGGTGCGCTGGCCGTTTATTCGATTTAAGCTTAAGGGCATAAAATGAGCGAGATTTGTGTAGAATTAATAAATACCCATTTTTACTTGCCTTCTAAATGAGTTGGCACCTTTGATGCTTTCAGGTATATTTCCCCATGCCCACTCGGAGATGACCTGATTACATTAAAGGGGGTAAGCAGTGCTTTCACGTGAGCTCACCTATACAAAGAACAAACTTACACTGCATTTGGCATCCTGCCGGTGATTGTAGCATGAAGTCATGTGCTTAGAACTGCAACGTTAAAGGAGACAGAAATTCAAGAAAACGAGAACTCGGACATACTAAACAAAGAGCGAATAGAAGCAAAGCAAAATGGCAAAGTTGAACAACAATGATTTACAACATGGGCACCTGTAATTTCCCTGATTTTGATGGAATCATACTCAGCTCCCACAGTAAAGCCAGTGATAAACGGCTGATATGACGCATCGTGCTGCAGAGCTGGCAACTCACTATACGCTTCGAAATTATCCTTCACATTTATACCAAAATTATTCACACCCTAAAATATAAGCAGTAATGTGCAGTGCCACAACAAACTAGTTTTAACTCCTCTCTTTCTTTTACCTCTCCCCTGTCCCTTCCCCCAGCTGCTCCCATCCTTCTTCCCCTCTCCGCTGAAAAGAAGAAAGAGAGACTTGAATTAGTAAAAGCAGGATTTAGCGGGACGAGCGCAGGAACCCATTAAAAGAGCGCTAAATTCTAGTGCAAGATACCTTAAGAAGCAGGCGCAAGGGTTAAAAGGCGAATTCCGTGCCAAGGTGCAGAGAAATGTCATATTTTATGCAGCTGGAGGTAAATGGAAGGGGGAGGACGAATTTTTCCTAACAGGTAAGTTTTGTTTTGTTCATCGTCCACTTCACTTGTAAGCTGCATTCTTTTTTAGCAGGTAAGTTTTGTTGCTGATGTCGACGGGTTGCACTGCTTTAAAGTTTAAGGGCACTTTCTACACGACGCAGTCGCATGAGGGTATGGAATAATAAAAAGGGACTGCCTGAGCGGTCTTAGTACTCCTAGTAGTCATGGTAATGTACGCGAACATGCATAAAAAAGATTTCTGTGGGAAGGAAAACAAGGGTGAAAAAGCTTACGTGCACTCCAAATCCGACGCCCCACGAATCTGCCAAATCCTCCGTAAATACTGCTGATACAGCCTGTGTGAATGGATTGAACGCGGATCTACAAGTTCAGCATTCTCTTAAAGTCCCTACTGAAAAGTCCGAGGCACATAGATTCTTTTTAATAAATAAGCTGTACGCACCAGGGTGACTGATGTAATCATACGTTTGTATATTCCGTCGAACGAACGTTAGCGGTCAAGAATTTTCACCGTTTGACACTTTGGTATACGCAAAAATAGTTGATGCGTAAAGCTGGGTTTGAAACCTTTGGGTCACAGATGATCAGAAAACATCCTTCTAAAATTAGATTCCTAGCTTTTTGGATTCAGATTTAATGATTTTCGTGCCAAAATTTTCGCGAGGCCATACGTGAGATCCAGGCATACGTAAAAGCTGGATTTGAATTTGTAGGGTCCAGGTGGGCAGGGGGCTTTCCCCTAAAATTTCATCTTTCTAGCTTTTGTGGTTAGCGAGCTGAAAATATGGGACAAAACACACTCGGGCAGACACAGACACAAACACACACACAGATAAGTGGAAATATGTCTTTCGTGCAGCCATGACACAGGATAAAACGCATAAAAACTGCACTCTTTCTCGCTTTCCAAGTTGCATTGCTTGTTTGGCAACCCGTCCCACCTCAGCTGCACCAATCGTCATTCCTCGCTCAAA